TCTGGATATGTCATACAAGGCAAGGAAGACAAAGTGTACAGACTTAGGAAAGCTTTATATGGTTTGAAGCAAGCTCCAAGAGCTTGGTATGAAGAAATAAACTCTTATTTTACAAAGGCTGGATTTCACAGAAGCCCGAGTGAAGCTACACTATACATCAAGACATCTCACAGTGGTATTATCATTGTGTCACTTTACGTAGATGATATTATCTACACAGGAAGTTCAAAGGAGATGATGACAAAGTTCAAATGTGAGATGATGAAACAATATGAGATGACTGATCTAGGAATACTTCATCATTTTCTTGGTCTTGGAGTATTGCAGACAGACAATTACATTTTTTTGCATCAAAAGAAGTATGCAAAGACTTTACTTGAGAAGTTCGGACTTCGGGATTGCAAGCCTGTTGCAACACCATTAGCTGTGAATGAAAAGCTTTCAAAAGAGGATGGAAGTGATCTGGCAGATGAAACTCTGTACAGGCAAATGGTGGGAAGTTTGCTATACTTGACAGCAACAAGGCCGGATATCATGTTTGCAGCAAGCTTATTAGCTAGGTTCATGCACAATCCTACCAAGAAGCATATGGGGACAGCCAAGAGAGTCTTGCGATACATACAAGGTACTGTGGACTATGGCATTGTTTATAAGAAAGGAAAAGGAGCAGTGTTGGTTGGTTACTGTGATAGTGATTGGAGTGGAAGTGAAGATGATATGCGGAGTACATCTGGTTATGCATTTAATCTTGGTTCAGGTGTGTTTTCTTGGGCTTCAATCAAACAAAGCAGTGTTGCTCTTTCAACTGCTGAGGCAGAATACATTAGTGCAGCAGAAGCCACTGCACAAACCATCTGGCTAAGATTTGTACTCTCTGATTTTGGGGAAGAACAAGCAGAACCAACTCAGTTATTGTGTGATAATACTTCAGCAATAGCCATATCAAAGAATCCGGTTCATCATCACAAAACCAGACACATTAATCGAAAGTTCCATTTCATCCGAGATGCACTTCAAGATGGTGAGATTGATCTGATATACTGCAAGACTGAAGAACAGGTTGCAGATATATTCACTAAAGCTTTGGCAAGGGATCGGTTTGAATTTCTGAGGACATCTTTGGGAGTAATTTCAGCAAATCACTTAGAAGGGAGTGTTAGTGTATAAGTGTATATGCTGAAATGTAATAAGAGTTAAGCTTAAATGTTAGCCTTTGGATCACAGTCCAAGTGTGTAGCTAAGATGTAATCTTAGAGCAAGCAAGAGATTAAGACATGTGTCATCACCTCATAGGGTAGATGAATGAAAGGTCAGATTTTAAATGATGTAATGAAAGGAATATTTTTTTCCTAACAGTGTAGTAAGTGCACAGTGTGTGCGTGTGAATTACACATCTGAAATCTGCTCATCTTGCTTCTTCTTCGAGCTCTTGTATTCTCTCTTCAGATATCTTTTATCTCTCTTGTTCAAGCTTCATTGTTTGTTGATATTGAAAGAATTACATACTAGATAACAGTCTGTATGCTAACAATTATATGGGAGGGTGATTCGGAATTGAGTGTAAGAGGTGGGTACACTACTCTAATCAACTAACCTACCCTACGTCTAAACGTAAAAGCCAAAATCATTGTAACAAAATGGATGTAGTTAAGTAAGAAGAATTGAAGAAATTATATACCGTTGGGGCATCACATCTAGTTCTCACAGAAACCCTAGCTCGTTTTGCATTGACCTGCGGTGGAGGTTCACCGTCTTCATTCCTCATCGTCTTCCGCGTTTTACTCGATGGTGGCGACGATGCTTCTCCACCTCCAGCTTCTGCATGATTCTTATTAGGTTCTTCCAAACTAGTCTCATCAGAACCTAATCCAAGAGTAACATTGGCCATCAAGTTCTCTTCACCATCATCAACTTGTGCAAGTTTTGTGAAGTTGCTACTGGCAGTAGTTTCACGATCACTTTTAGGCTCCCTTGGACTTCTTCCAAGACAAAGAGACAAGAGCTCCTCCGGTTCTTCGATTATTCGATGACCCGCGACATTTACAGCTTTTTTGGAAGCCTGTTGCTTGAGGATTTCGAAAAACCGCAGCTGGAGAGAATGGTAATCCTTCTTCATATGATTTAACGTTATTTTTAACCTAGCATTTTCTTCCATCACCTCTCCCAATTCAGCTTTGGCATTATCAAGTTCACTCTCCTATATTGGTCATATATAAAACCGAAGGAAATAATCACTTGAATGAAAATCAAAATTAAATGGATATATACAACTTGATATTTGAAGAAATTAATGGCTCGTTTGGAAATATTTTTAAAATGACTGAAAGCGCTTTTGATGAAAATGCTTTTGGAACAAATTCTTAATAAAAATGCAAGTTCTTTATTTGGAACCCAAAAACATGTTCTCTAAAAGTGTTTTCAATCATTTTAAAAATATTTTCAAATGAGCCCTAAGACTAAGGCATAGTTCCCAAAATTTAATCAGAAATTAGTGACAACAATATGAACATTTTATGATATGATCAGAAACTCTAAATAAAAATACATAATTAAGAAAACTGAAAATAAAAGAAAGATTCTATTCTGAAAACTAGAATTTTCATAGAAAATGATGATCATATTCAACAACCTCAACCATAATCCTAGCTAGCTAGATCAACTGATCTTATGAGAAAACATACAGAAATTAATCAAAACCAAAATTAATTTGCAACAAAGAGAAGAAGATATAACTGTATATTTACTTACCTTTCTTAAATCCCGGCTGTGAACCTCTTGATATCCAACAGATTGATCAACTTTCTTTTCTGCAGATGATGATCTGCTATTGGAGTTCAGCATTCTCAATTGCTTTTTATTTTAATAGATGGGGTTCAGCATTTTCAATTGCTTTATATTCTAATAGATGGGGTTAAGCCATAACTTTCAGACTTGGTATAAAAGCAAATTTGAAATCCGGTGATCATCTGTTTGCCCCATTGCGTAGGCACACACAAAATGTCAACTCTCTGCAACCCCTTTTTTATTTTACTTTTTCTAGATTAAACTAACAAATAAATTAACAATAAGATTTTAATAAGTTTCAACATTTTCCACAGTAGATGAACAAATTAATGTGCTTAGAGAGAGCTGAATTTGCAGGCACTGATTGTACTACAGATAATTTATATCAGGATTGTTATTAGCATTTAAAAAAACTCATTTGGCATTACAATTTTTTTATAATTAGAAAGAAAAATGCACATGTAAAGAGTATAGAATAAGATTTTTAAAGTGCTATTAACAGTTTCCATTTATTTGAGTGTGAGTCGTCACATGGCATGAGTAGTGCAGTTCGTCTTTGAAACGTACAAGGGAGACGTTACATGGCAAAGAGTCAAGGTATACGAATTTTAAGTGGGGGTGTGCTATCCACACACCCCTTTTTACTTCTCTCACACCTCTTGTTAATTTCTATCATTTGATATTCTTTAATTCATCCGATCCGACAGCGAAAATTAAAAGAGTGTGAGAGAAGTAAACAGGGGTGTGTGGATATCACACCCCTTTAAGTATTTGAGTGTGAATCGTCAGTCGTGTGACCTTCTAGACTTCTAGCATATATTGATGCTGCAGTGCAGACTGTAGCCTCTATATTTAAAGACTGTATATTATAACCTAATAATAAATATTCGTTGTCTGCAATCAATTGTCATACACGGTGAGAGACTTGAGAATTCACTCATCTATAAATTTCCATTGAATTGACCTATTTGGGTTGTATATACGTTAGAGAAATCAAACTAAAGGTTGATATGTCGTCGTGGATGACAATGTTACCACCAGTCCATTTTCTTCGTTGAACGGAAGGTTGATAAATCGTCGGTATATAATGTATCATAGTAAAGCATTTTGAAGTAATAATATTGATACACTATCCATACAAAATTCTCCTTTAACAAAAAAATAGACGCCTTGTACAAAGTTATTCAGAATTTTGATAGCATGTTCTATAAGATTTGCAATCTTACAACATCTATTTCATTGGTTTTTGAGATATATATATATATATATATATATATATATATATATATTCATAATTTTGATCTAACAAACACTTATATATTAATTGCAAGCATCCTATATATGACCAATTTCCTATGAGGAGAGAAATGGTTTAATTTTCATGTAGCTGCTAATATTGCATAGGGAAATTTTATTTGAATTCTTATAAATTCTTATAACCTCTTTCTACACCCAACTTACTTTTATACCCATATTATTTTTAATTAAATATCTCTTTAATCCCATCTTCTCAACTTTAAAATAAATAAAAAATGAAATCAAACGAAAAAAATTGCATAAATCAATTCATACCTTAATTGGAAGATTTAAAACTTTAAAACCATCATTCATCAATAAAAAAAAAAAACTTGTTTTCTCTATAAGAGCTCTTATGATTTAGCCAGAATGAATATAAGATAAACATTGTGTGAAGCTAGGGTTTAATTATTGAGTGTGGGTTTATGGATAAATTTTAGTTTAATCGTTGATCTTTTCATGTACTTGATGGTAATTATGCAATATGGTAAGAAAAACAATTCAGATTTAAGGTTTAAATTGAGTGTAGAAAAAGTTTATATGAGTTGAAATTAAAATTTTCTATTGCATTATGATTATGCTAAACTAAGCTTAAAACCTACCTGTTTCAGCTCTTCTGGCCGAAATTTAATTAATTATCTCGGGATCTGAGTACCAGGAGTACTTCTAATAATTGGTTTGGGTCTACGCATACAAATCTCATCCATTGAAGATTGACAGATAACTGAATATTATATGTGTGTGATCTTTTGAAACTGTAACCCTAAAAATATATATATTCATCTTTTGAAAATTGAAACTATAAGATGACTGTTGTATTAAAAACTAAACCAATTGTTATGGTTGATCTTAAATAATCAAATAATTAAACTTATCTAAAACGAAATTGTGTTTGTACACACACATGACTTTGAGGCTTTGTATTTATTGCACACCCTAGCGGTATGGTTACCTAAAATCATTTTATATAAAACCATCAGATCCTATCACCACTATTGATCAGCTGAATTTATATGACTATGAGAGGATTCTAAATATTTAAGAAGTGCTTATAATTGAGGATGGAGTTTTTGGGTCATCTGGGTAACCAGCAGGGCAAGCCATTTCAGAAATTCAGAATGGAACAAATCAATCGTGCGTGTGAGCTTTTCATCACAAGGTTAATCTCAATGATTTGAAATTTGAACTACCCAAAGGCAAAAACTCATTATTGGAAGGTTTTAATTACCTCCTAAAATTTACCTTCTAATCATTATTTTAGGATGTTAACAACCTTCTTGTTTTACTATCTCAGCTCTTCTTTTTATCTTGAAATTTTGTTGGATGATTGGAACGTGTAATTTACCTTGAAATTTCTGCATGATTCTTATTAGGTTCTTCCAAACTAGTCTCATCAGAACCTAATTCAGGAGTAAGATTGGCCTTCAAGTTCTCTTCACCATCATCAACTTGTGCAAGTTTTGGGAAGTTGCTGCTGGCAGTAGTTTCACGATCACTTTTAGGCTCCCTTGGACTTCTTCCAAGACAAAGAGACAAGAGCTCCTCCGGTTCTTCAATTATTCGGTGACCCGAGACATTTACAGCTTTTTTGGAAGCCTGTTGCTTGAGGATGTCGAAAAACCGCAGCTGGAGAGAATGGTAATCCTTCTCCATATGATTTAACGTCATTTTTAACCTAGCATTTTCTTCCATCACCTCTCCCAATTCAGCCTTGTCATTATCAAGTTCACTCTCCTATATTGGTCATATATAAAACCGATGGAAATAATCACTTGACTGAAAATCAAAATTAAATGGATATATACAACTTGATATTTGAAGAAATTAATGACTCGTTTGGAAATGCTTTTAAAATGACTGAAAGCGCTTTTGATGAAAATGTTTTTGGAACAAATTCTTAATAAAAATGCAAGTTCTTTTGGAATCCAAAAACATATTCTCTAAAAGCGTTTTCAATCATTTTAAAAGTATTTCCAAATGAGCCCTAAGACTAAAGCATAGTTCCCAAAATTTAATCAGAAATTAGTGACAACAATATGAACATTTTATGATATGATCAGAAACTCTACACAAAAATACATAATTAAGAAAACTGATAAAAAAAAAAGATTCTATTCTAAAAACTAGAATTTTCATAGAAAATGATGATCATATTCAACAACCTCAACCATAATCCTAGCTAGCTAGATCAACTGATCTTATGAGAAAACATACAGAAATTAATCAAAACCAAAATTAATTTGCGACAAAAAGAAGAAGGTATAACTGAATATTTACTTACCTTTCTTAAATCCCGACTGTGAACCTCCTGATATCCAACAGATTGATCAACTTTCTTTTCTGCAGATGATGATCTGCTATTGGAGTTCAGCATTCTCAATTGCTTTTTATTTTAGTAGATGGGGTTAAGCCATAACTTTCAGACTTGGTATGAAAGCAAATTTGAATTCCAGTGATCATCTGTTTGCCCCAACGCACACACAAAATGTCAACTCTCTGCAACCCCTTTTTTATATTACTTTGTCTAGATTATACTAACAAATATATGAACAATAAGATTTTAATAAGTTTCAACATTTTCCACAGTAGATGAACAAATTAATGTGCTTAGAAAGAGCTGAATTTGCGGGCACCGGTTGTACTACAGATAATTTATATCAAAATTGTTATTAGCATTTTAAAAAACTCATTTAGCATTACATTTTTTTTATAATTAGAAAGAAAAATGTGCATGTAAAGAGTATAGAATGAGATTTTTAAAGTATTAATAACAGTTTCCATTTATATATACTAGCAAATGAGCACACATTTTGTGTGTGTGAACAATTTAATTTTAATTGTGTTTGTACACATGCGTGACTTTGAGGCTTTGTATTTATTGCACGCCCTAACGGTATGGGGTTACCTAAAATCATTTTATATAAAACCATCAGATCCTATCACCACTATTGATCAGCTGAATTTATATGACTATGAGAGGATTCTAAATATTTAAGAATTGCTTATAATTGAGGATGGAGTTTTTAGGTCATCTGGGTAATCAGCAGGGCAAGCAATTTCAGAAATTCAGAATGGAACAAATCAATCATTTGTGTGAGCTTTTCATCTCAAGGTTAATCTCAATGATTTGAAATTTGAACTACCCAAAGGCAAAACCTCATTATTGGAAGGTTCTTACCTCCTAAAATTTACCTTCTAATCATTATTTTAGCATGTTAACAACCTTCTTACTAACTTCTTGTTTTATTTTCTCAACTCTTCTTTTTATCTTGAAATTTTGTTTGATGATTGGAACGTGTAATTTGTAGTCAAAGATTAACTCTACAAAAAAACCAACTAAATAAAAATCACTTAACCATTCAATTAATGTTGTCCAAAATTTCAGTGTTTAAGTCAGAAACATGATTTATATATTTATTGGATAACATTTCAAATTTAGAAATTATTTGCCAAGATAAATTTTTAAATATTGACATAAAAATGAACGGTTTAGGTTATTATGAGAATGAGAGTCAAGAAGGTAAAATGAAAAACGTCAAATAAGAAGTTGCTAACATTCCTCTTATAGTTTAATGCAGTACAAATTTGTGATTGGTTTTGATATAACAAGTCGTAGAACTGCTCTCCTAATAAGGTCCTCAAAATAAGGACGTGTGAGATCATTTTTATGTGAGTCTTCAAATTAATTTTATGGTAAATTAAATTATCAACTTAAATAATCTATGTTACATTGAAGGACAATAATTCTGCGAAGAGATTAAATTAAAAATAAATAAAAATTCTCACGCAAAACCTTCTGTCTTCTTCCCCTACCATCTCTCTCCTCGGATCCACACATCTCCTTCCTCTCTCCTTTTCTCCCTCTCGATCATTCACTCCCCTTCTCTCCACCCGAGTTTTTTGTTTTTCCCTTTAATGTATGAAAAATGGAGAGGGACCCCTTTCAACTTTTTTACCGTCATCTGAAAATTTCATATGAGAAAATGTTTCAAGCATTCAAGAAGAAGGGGATCCCATATTTTGAAACCACACAATCTCAATTGTTTTGGTGCTTTGTAACTAACTGGGTTTGAATATTATTAATAAAATTAGGGTGTTATGCAATTAGATTTGCTGGTTTTAGATATTCAATGAGAAGACTAAATTTTGCAAAGAAAAGGATTCGATATGACATGAAACCTTCTTCTCACAAGTTCTCAAAATAAAGACCTTACAAGAACAGCTTTCTAACAAGTCGTGGTAGCGTCACATAGTACTACAGTCTAGTGGTATTCCTCTTCGCTTGTAAGTGAGAGGTCTTAGGTTTGATTATCGCCAAAGACGAAATTGAAACAATTTATTACTAGCTCATTGTGAGGCTAAGCTCACTTCTTTCTTTTTAGTGTAGAGAATATCATTTGTTCAAAAAAAAAAAAGTCGTGGTAGCATGCAAGGCATGATGTCTCCAACTTCTTCTTTTTTTTTCTTTTTTTTTAAATTTCGAATAGGGTTGATGGAGTCACCAACTTATATAACGTAAGGAGCCATTCAACCCCCTTAATTAACTTTAAACAATTTACTTTGATAAGGAAAGGGAAAGGAATATAATGGAGGCAACTCTTCAAGGTCTATAGGTTTGTCGTGGATTAATTGGGTCTTGAAACAACATAAAAGTCAGTTTGTCAGTTTGCTCCGCCTCGTTAAAAGTTTCAATCGTACGGCCTTGAAAGATGTAAAAACGCATGCGCCAACATGTATATATACTAAACTCACTTCGTAATGTATTTAACAATTCAAACCGTCTATTTTTTAGATTTTTTCCTCAAATATCATGTTTACAAAAAATCGTCCAAATATGAAACCATGTTACCATTCGATTAATGGTTTAGGGGTTATTTGTAAAACCGTATTAGTTCATTTTCTTCAGTATAAATGAATGTCCTAATAGTTTTGGATTTCTCTAATTTTTTCAAGGATGATCTATATGAATAGTTTTCTAAAAGATAGTTTAGGTCGTTAAACTAAATTACTAAATGAGCCCTACAAAAAATGTGTATTAAAAATATATAAAAGTTAGTGGTGCTACTTCATATATATATATATATATATATATATAGACTGATAGTCTTGCACGTAAGGGAAACATGAAGTTTACTGGTACTTGCATACAAATTGACTCTGTAAATCATGGACTGAAGACTGAAGACTGAGAGAGGGAGTGAGAGAGAGAGGTCACATTAATTTAATTGCACTAGGTTGTCAAGACATAAGATTTTTTAAGTCTTACTACATGGAGAGCTTATTATAATCAACTAATGCTCTCAATTAGCTAGCCATCTTGAATTAATCAATCAACTTCTGATTTAACATTAATCTGCATTTTTGTATTCCACATGCATTGCCTAAGCAACTGGAGGCGTTTAACTTTATCGCTAATATATGACTAATTTTATTAAAAAGTAGCTTTCATTGCGTATTATCTGGTTTGGAATTGGTGAACGTGTTATATTGAAACGTTGATGATGCTATAGATTATGAAAAGTAATACAACAATAAAGTCTTATCTTATTAAGTGGATTCAGCTATATGAATCCTAGCACGTCATTGCGCTCAGTTTTAAGTCAAGTTTTTCGTTAACTCCAAATACTTCATGTTTTTTTTCTTAAAGTATCTTTCAAAATCTTCCTAGCTAGGTCTTCCTCCACTTCTTATGGTACTACTTATCATTTATTTCTACACAGTCGGTAAACACAGGAGTAACCTGTAGTCCAAACAAACTCCTTATTTTATTTTCGATTACGAATTACTAAACATGCTATTGCTATTATAGATATTTGAACTCTGTAGTTTTTCCTCTTGCAAGTAAGCTAAATTAGCAGAGTTAATAGATTTTGTATCTGGTCTAGAGTTGTGGGCTTAGCCGGTCAAGAAGTGGGGCTATCACCTTGGCAAGTTGGTAACTCTTGTTTCACTCTCAAACACAGTAGCTTGGTTACTGATCTGCGAAGTGTGAACCCATTGGACCCAAATGCATGCAGCATGCCTAAAAAGTCAAGACACGTAAAACGTTGACAAGATAGAGTTTGAATGCAATATACAGTGAGTTGAAGAAGAATGCCTGATGATCAGGATATTCTACAGTCGTACCACTTGCTGATTACAGTGTTTCTTCTTAACTTTTCTTGTAGTACTGCCAAGCTTAAGCAATCGATGTCTATAAATTACATAATATATATATATATATATAGCAGATAAATACTGTTAAGTGCAGGAATCTTGTACCTTGATAAAAATAATATTCTCAAAGAAACTTCCGAGTCATTGCAGACATGCAGATATCCTACTTCTGAATGATATCGTCACGAGTCTATGTGACACACGCGCAAACTTACAAACCCTATTATAGGTTTAGCAGAGAGAGAGAGAGAGAGAGAGAATATGATATGTACGGGCTTTTCCAACAGCTCAACAAAATTAGAAATATCATCTTTCTGGAAACAGCTTTGTAATTACTAGCTAATTAGTAATTTAACCTGTTTAAATTACTTTACTACTCCTGGTAATTAGTAGCAGAAGAAAGGGTAATTTATATGCAAAACATGTTCGCTAGCTTTTCGATTTCAAGAAACCCTTTGTATCTTATCCGTTCTTCATATTTCTCTACACATGCATGCAGATGCAGCTCTCTCTGGTGCTGGTGCTGGTGCTTCCCCATGGAAACACGTCACAGCTGCTTGCTTTGTACTTGTTTTCCTTGAAGCTGTCTCCAAAGGCATAGACGTATCCCAATCTTCTAAGGGCAGGTCCGACAAATCACTCTCAACATCATCATGTCGTTTTCCCGTTGATATATAACCTAAGATCATGCATATTCATATATATATATGACGTATGACCCACGCTACACCAACAACTTCACTTTTGACTTTAATTATCGTTTACCACATATGCCATCCACACGTCACGTTGTCTAGCCCAAGTATTGGAGCGAGATCACTTACCTACACCGAGTACTTTAAATACACATTAGAGACTTACGTGCACCAAATACTACACGTACACGAAGAAAACTTACATGCAAGATATGCCGTTATGACAGCCTCTCAAACTACTATCACAAAGTCATCGAAAATCGACTACATCCATGACTGCTGTTCTGTAGGCTTACCTAGTTAACTATCACTGGTAATTTCTCAAACTAATAACACGCCGAGAAGCCTAAGACACATAGTTGTGTCTTATTACTATGAACTACCTACATTAGCACTTTGAAATACCACTACAGTAATACTTTGAAATACTGCTACTGTGGCGTCTAGGGTCTAGGATACATGTCGGTATCTCTCCAACTACACCCCCTATAAGCCTACCTACATCGGAAGGACTCCCTACAAGCTAATGGCTAGCCAGGAGGATCCACGCCAGATCCTCTTTGTGAGGATCATGGGGATCCTTCTTGTCAGGATCATGAAGATCCTCCAATCACATCTATTCATTGTACATGTCAGAAATCATTATAAATTTTTTTATTTAAAATTGAATATAAATAGTACCTAACAAAAATTAACTGCAAGATATACTATGATTGGAGGATCCGGGAAGATCCTCTCTCAATGGCCTGGGCGGATGGCACGCACTCTTTTCCTCTGACAAGTGACAACAAAACAATCCAAACCACAATTCCCCTTTCATGAAAACAAGACAAACTACAGATCTTCAGATTTGGACTGCAACTGAAAATTGCATCATCTCTGAATGAAAAATGAACAATAACATCATCGTAAAGTATAAACTAACCAAGTAAATATTTGGGGGAGAGAGTGTAAAATTTAAAAGGCCAATCATGAAAAGAGTGCTAATGCACTTTCTTCCTCTAATTTCAAGCGCGCTTAGAACAAAGAGACCTTCTCTTCATTTTGTTGCTTTTCTTTTTTTGGGTATGTACATTAACTGTAGAAAGAAGAAAAAATAAGGCACCAAGTGCCTCCTCATGTTCCACCAAAAAGAAAAAACAACAAAACATAGAGCCAAAAAAAAAGAACATAACGAGACAAAAGCACTACTGCTGCTGTACTGAATTGAGCAGCAGCCACTGATGGCATCGATGGAAGCGACGGAACTGTGGTGCGGAGGCGGCTGCGGATGGATGAATGGGGAAAATGGAATGGAGATGCAGACAAGTGAAATGGAATGACGAAGGAGATATAGATTGGTGAGATCATCAATTCTCCTGTATTCTGGGGCCTCTGTAGATGGCTCCAACTACAGCTAAGTCATCAGGTTTCTCTCTCTCTTCAAGCCAAGCATAGCCGTCCTTCTCATCTTCTGGCACAGATACTCCCCCATCTGAAATTCAAAAACAGAACCGTCGTCGAGATTTCTCAAAGTTCTAACGAGATGGGCTCTCACTTTTGAGTTGGAAAGGAAAATCTAACCACACTGATACCTGGGAAACGAGGGAATGGGTGATCAATGTAGTATTGGCAGTGCCGACCGTCAGGATCAGAATATGGAGGGCCAAGCACATCGAGCACTGCGCATGCTGTCACTGCTGTGAAGCAATGCATGTTGCCTCCATCAGCTGGATAGAGGATGGAAGGGTCGCAAGCAGCAGTGAAATCAGCGTCAGCCTTAACTTTAGCCAGACGAACACCAGGCGGTGCTTGAACGAGAGAACATCCAACTGCATATTTTTTGTACGAATAAAATAGTTTCACAACTGAAGGTCCTCGTGAGTCGTGACATCATTTTATAACAAAATGTTAAGCAGTCAAAGGTCATAATCATGGACATAAAGTCTAAAAGTTCAAGATGCCACAAGCAATATACTCTTCAAAAGATCAAATACGCCGGTAGATTTCTCATCAGGTCCCACAGGTTATCTCAAGGAAGATGCAATACAACGCAATAACTCATATTGTGTCTTTAATATAGAGAAAAACTTGTGTAGGGGCACCGGACCACATCATCCGTAGGGAAGCTCGCAAAAGCACGTGTCCTGTATTTTGGTCTCATCCGACCTCACGTTGGTCCCACCCAAACCCAGTGTAAGAACTGCCCTGATCAGGCATCCTTCCACAAGTTTTTCTCTTTTAGTATCTCTCTCTATCTTTAAGGTTACCTAGCTTTTATAGCAAATACCAATAAAAAAACGTATTATCAACTAATCAATTCCGCACTTTCTACATACAAGTTAAGAATAATACAAATTTCAAAGGAGGAATTTACCTAATGAAGGATTCGCACTTGCCAATGTTTTCCCCGGCGTACTTGCCAACGTTTCCTCCGGGGCACTTGCCAATGTCTTCTCCGGGGCACTCTCCGGGGCACTTGCCAACGTCTTCTCCGGGGCACGTGCCAATGTCCTCTCCGAGGCATCAGCCACCCAATCATAGGATTTGATGTGCATTGTCCCAAACAGAAGCTTACTGAATACAGTCATTCCAGGGTGATTATGAAGCGGTAGGATACCGGAAGGCGGCAAGCAAAATATCCCCATCTGCATATAGGTAACACATTATAAGAACAAAAGCCACGCTGACTGATTTCGCTTCGTAGATAGCGAAAATGAACCAGGAAGAAACTTACCGAATATTTTTCGCACTCGTAAAGGTGCAGGTAGGTTATTGCCGGGGTTCGTCTAGCTACTGTCATCCTGAAGTACGGCAAATCAGGAGTCAGGCCGACATCAGCAGGCTTAATGGCACCTGCATCAAAACAACCAAATCCTATAAGCCACATTGGGGAATAAATTCGAAAAGGAAAGAACACCGATTGCAAACAACATCGGAAGACAAGTTTTTTCTATCAAAATCTTGAGTTGCAAAGGTTAAATGCAAACAATATACCATTTGTGCAACAAAAACAGAATCCAGATGTGAAGAAATGAAACCATGCAAATATGGATGACCTCCTCCGGCATGAAAACACACATGCTCTGTCACAAACATTTTTTTTATACAGTATATTGTATCCCCAACCCCGAGGAGATATACAGACACACACATATATCTGCATGCATACAGCCACAAAACTGAATGTATCAGGTGCAAGGACAGAGATATGATTAAAAAATTTCAAAATTCAATTTCAAAATTTAAAAAGAGAAGGCACTGGCCGATAACAGACAACCTACAAGATCATGCAAATTCCACACAGCAGAATGATTAACTCAATCCCAATTTTCAAAATTCATTAAAAAAGAACCAAAATTGAGCTTTAATCCAATCAAATTATGAAATTCTGAGACACCCCACGTGAACAAAGCATTAATTAGAGCAAGAACAAATTTGAATCCAGGCAATCATCCAAAAGCAGAGAAAAAGTATATACCCAAAACAGAGGATAGCCGTTGGATATCATCAGCGGGGGGTATAACCCCGGCCCCACCAGACGAAAAGACTTCCTTGCAAGTCTCGTACAGCTTCTGAACCGGCGACATCTTCCGCTGACGCCGCCGGCACTTTCTGGTCTTGCTTTTCGAATTCGTCACCTCCGCCAATTCCAGAAACTCCTTATTGCCTTTGCGATTGGGCGCCACCATCTCAATCCCCATTCACACCCAAAATTCCCCCTTTAATGAAAACACAAACCCATTTGAAATAAATGAAATTTTCGATCTGGGTATTTCAAAAAACTCAAAAAAAATTCACACTTTCAATCTGGGTACATACCCAATTAAGAAAAACGTAAGAAACTGGATTAGAACTACAAAAAAACAAAGCAGGGGAACAAGGGAGGAGAGAGATAGAGAGAGAGAGTGGGGAGTGATGATAAAAGTTAGTTTGTACTGGAGAATGATGGATGGTAAAAGGAGGACATCGATGTGAAATCTGGCAGCTCTGTTGAAGGAGGAGAACTCCTGGAGAAAGAGGCAGAGGGTTGAATGGGTATAAAAGAAGGGGACAAAGGGACTTAGGGTTAGCTGAAAGAGAAAGACAGTTGGTTTTGGAAAGAGGGAGGGAAAACCAGGGGCCATGGTTTGGCATTCCGGTGGGCTATTCCAACAGCGGATTTTTATCCACTTCCCTCCTCTCTATCTTTCTTTGTTCTTCCCATGTTGCCCCTTCTTTCCCCATTTTTCACATCTCCACCACTACATATGAATTTTACACTAATATTTCTATTTGATTTTTCTTCTTTCTTTTTCTTTTCTTTTTATTTTTTTTAATTTTCAACTTTTCTTTCTACCATCCAACCTAGTTTTTTATAAGGAAAACTAATGAAAAGGGCTTGAAAACTTTGAGTTTTAATGATAAGGACAAAATAAAGGGTAAAGTGAATAGTACCAAGGTTGACTTTTTAGTGTAAAAATGTGGTTTTTCGTTAAAGTGAACAGTACCAGGTGTTTTTCGTTAAAGTTCCCTTTTTTATATTGTTGTGGTTTTCTGGTCTACATTGTGGAGAGAGAATACTTACCTCTGTATTTGGGTAATCCATAATTTGTCTGTATTTTTACACATGTTTATGAGAAATCAAACTTTATATAAGTCGCTACACACATATTATCGTCTCTAATTTTGTAATAAAGACACAATTTTCAAGTTTCTTTCCACTATGTAACGTAGATTTTGATACTGGAAATCTGGTTGTGGTTTCTGGTTTGCATTGTCGAAGGGGAGAAAACTACCTTTGGATTTGGTGAACGCCAAATCTACTTTATTTTTTTCACCTCTTCTTAAGAGAGCTGACTTTGTATAAGCCACCAAACACAGACCCGTTGTGCTGGATTTTGTAATTATTGTGCGCGAAATCACTGACATAGAAACCGATTCATTAATTTTTTTCAAAGTATTAACACAACGTGTCAGCTGTACTTTACAGTTATCACTTTCAATAAATAAAAAGGTGCATAATAAAGATACGATTTTGTTCGTATGTCTTTTATAGTTTAAACACTTGTAAATATGGATATAAATTAAATGAACACAACTTGTAAATATTGATAAATCATGTATAAGCAAGGTTTTTAATATTTTCGATCCTATTGAAATATCCGTAAAGTGGGGTTGCCGATATTCGAAAGTAAGGTAAAGCAATATCTTTCCACAACATCTTCAAAATTTCATGCGCATTTTGTCAATATTTAAAATTTTGGAAATTTTTTTGTATTTACAATATTAGGCAAAATTTTAGTAAAACTTTCTACGTGCGGACAACTTTTTTGGGTCAAATTATAATAAAGATTATTACATATTGTCAAATTTAATAGTAACGGATTCACTAGTCCATTCACTGTGTTAATACGCCACATAATTCTTTTTTTTTTAACGTACTTTTACCTTTCAAGGAAGACAAAAATTATAGGATTTGAATTGAGAATAAGATTAACATTCATCTAATATAAACTGTGCAATAAATATATAATCTACTTATCAAATATTACAATTTTTTTTAACAAATATATGAAAGATACTCAATATTAAATATATGCATGTAACTAGTTATACCTGAATTCTTAGAACTTTTTATTCTGACAAGCAATAAGATAATTGCTCTAAACTCATCAAAATTACAAGGAAATGATTTCAAACTTGAATGTAAAAAGTAGAGCACATTATTTTAGCTAGTTTTTAAAAATAATTTTGAAACATTATTAAATTCAAACAACTTACAACCTAAAATATTAAATAAATAAATAAATGTATTATGTCCATTTTATATTAAATGAGTTAAAAATAATAATTATTATTATTATATCCAAGGGTGATGATGTAATTTCAATTGAGCACATGAATTAGCTACGTGGAAGTTACTAATGTATTTGACAAGTCCATCAAGGCCATAAATATGGGAAGGGATTCTCTCCGAATAGCTTCCACCAAATCCATCAAGGACATGAATCTGAATATTTGAAATTTGATCTAACGACTACAAACAAGGGTTCATTTTAAAAGTTATAATAACTTTAGTCATTTGATCAAATTTCAAAGATCCGGATTTGTGACCTTGGTGGACTTGGTGGAAGGGATTCGGTGAAGATCCCTTTTCCTAAAATATTATAGTGAAAATCTATACTAATTAATGAAATCTTCTTTGTCAACCAAAAGATGGTGAAAAGACAAATTAGTCTTCTATCACACAAAAAATGATGGGCAATAATGTAATTTCATATGTCCAAAATTTACTGTTTTTTATTGAAGCATCACCTACAGGTGGTGTTAAAATACCTCTCATATTAAAAAAAATTAAAAAAAAAACTTCTCATTCCTCCCACGTTCTCTCTCTCTCTCTTCCCTCTCTCCTTCTCATTTTCTAAAAAATGTGTTCATACACACGAAGTGTGTAGGCAAATGCTAATAATAACTTAAAACCTCCCCAAAAGCTATATCTTTTCCAAAAGCAAAACAATTACCACCCAAAAATATTACATCCGAAATGATATTTTCTGGTCATCATTTATATAATTATAAATATCTATTACCTACTCCAAAAGCTATGTATATCAGTCTATCACATCTAAACAAAACAGTCTCTCCTCTTGCATATATTTTGTTGATTATAACAAGATTGAAAAGGAAACTCTAAGTACACAATTAAGTTTAATAAGCAATATTCGATACACCATGTGTAATAATATAATTAGTTAAACATTTAAAAAAAAATTCAATCAATTGTATTATTATAATTGGTGTATCATTGGTGTGGGCAACACACTGAAATTTTTTCGATGTGTACATACTGTTATCTTTTTCAAAAATTATAGTTTTCTTTTCATTTTTGGATGCCTACCATGTACCAAATAATGGTACACCGTAGAATGCGAAGGTACACAACAAGATGTTCTTGATTAGGACCACAACAAAACCTTGTAGGCCTAGGAAGATTTTTTAGTGTGCTCAAAATATGGGTGTAGATGTCTCATCATACAAGTAGAGGTACACTTAAAAAAAAAAACACCTTACCTCCATTTATATAATAACATATGGCATATTTGCCGGTATTCTAGCGCATTAAAAAATTTCTAGGAGGCCTACAAAAATTAACAGATATGCATGAAGATACACAACAAGAAGTTCTCGATTAGGACCACAAAACCTTAATTAACTTTTTAGTGTTTTGTTCTGCCTTTGTATTGTACGTTCCTTCTGTCATTTTATATTTTCCCTATTTTTTTTCTTTTGGCATCTTCTCTATACATGCTTGGATTTGGAATGTATATGGATGGATACTTTCCCTGGATAAAAGTCTATATTTCTTCCTTAAATTATCGATGTATTGATTAAGGATGCATCATGTTTAATCCCTTTAAGCACACCTTTAATTATTGACGAAATTCTAACCATAATTGAAGGGGGTCTTGACTAATTTCAGGCTTTGCTTGTTAAGCAAGGGTTGACTAAGTGATCACACTCAAGAGGCCGATTAAGGGATTAACGTGGGAGGAATTTTCGACTTCCTGTTTATTCATGCCTTTATTTCAGTGCATGTAATACAATATGAATAGACAACGAGTTTATATTTGAAGAAAAATACAAGGGTTGTCATATGCTTGACATTCTCACAATATCACATTACAATTTCTTACTAAACGTAAGCATGAAGTATGGAATGAGAAATTAATTAAAAAGAGAAATTAAGGAAAGTAGTAAACTACATATCTTATATTGGTTTGCTTGTGTATAGGAAAACAAAACTTTTGAAGCATGTTATTGTGCATTCTTAAGCTATGAAGAAAAATGAAATGTATACGCGCAACACGCATCAAGTGTTATATATGTATATTATTTGGATGTAGAGAAAAATCCGGAGGTCTCAAAAAGATGAGGGATAGAACTCTTGGGAATCACTCAATCAAGGGAAACAAAGCTCGCTTGACATTGCTAATCATGAATTCATTAAACACGACCAAGCCAAATGCTTGTTTTTTAAAGGGAAAATCAGTCTCTTCTTAGATAATTTAATTATTATGCACTGCATCATGTTTCATATATATATAAAATCAATTCCTAATTTTGCATGTAAAATATTCTAAACATAAAGCCTTTGCAGAGCTGCATGGGCATGGCGCTGTTGGACCCTGTAAGAAATGAGACCGTTGACGGAAGGAATAACTGATAAGCACCACCAGCGACGTACGTAGTTGGGCGGCAGTTATATCAGTTTATGGTGTAAGCAATGACCACAGCATCCGATATGTAACTCCATGCCTCCTCATTCATCGCTATCACAATATCTGAGACTCTAACGTCATACAAGTAATTGCCCATTTCTAGTTTCATTTCGTTTTCTTGTTCCATACGGTTCTTGTTTGAGATGTACTCGGCTCGTCGATCGTCCCTAAGGTCAAGGCGACCAAGGCCGATCTAATCAGTTTTGACATCAATCTCTTGAAATCATGTGTATAGGGAAGCTAGCGTTATGACAGATGCCACAATTACCATCGTAAATCCAGTCGAAGGGACTTACTTATGGGATCATACAGTTCCTTCTACGACTCAAAATGCTTTTAACTTTTATTGTATTGGCTTGGGGTGCGAATGAAGCTCCAATTTTTATTATGTATCAAGTAATGTTAGAGAGATCACATTGGTGTATCACAGAACATGATAAATGATACATGTAACTAAAATTTTATGAATAAACTCATTAATTGATATGACATGTTGTGCCTCCTTAAATGAAGAGGGTTTTTGGAGTGAGGAATTTTCAAGCTCTTCATCAAACTTTTCGTTTGGGTTAACATTCTTTTTGGATTGAGTGGAATTCTTCGTGGGCAGTGCATTTTCTTTATAATGAATTTTCTCAGTTGACTTGGTGTTTATTGGTTGATGGGGTAAATTGTTGTACCATTCTCTCTTTCTTGCATATCTGGTTTCACACACTTATTGTGAAGAAAATCATGTGGTACATTGTTTATAAACTATATTGTTGACCATATGTTGGTGTTCATTGGTGGGAATTTTTTTCCATAGTGTGCAGTTGCGGTTTTTGCTCATAATCTTTTAGGACTTCCGAATTTTCATTTA